ATGAATATTTCCATTGTTATTTGTAAAATGAGGAATCATTTAGAAAACCCAAACAAAATTCAGGTCACAAGAGACTTAGACATATACAGTAAGAAAGTGATTCTGCCATGGAGAATTTATATTTTGAAGGGACCAAATAATAAGAGAAATGTTGTTATCTCATTTAAGAATGTGGGATGGAGAGCAGAGCAATGAAGTGACTTGCCTAATGGTTTAGGTCTGAGCTGGGAATAGAATCCAGACTGCCTGACTCCCCAGGCAGAGCATTAAAAACAGATTTCCCTTCTTCCCTCCATGAAAAATAAGTGAGAGCTACCTGTTTAACAGCCTGGATTTGATGAAATATACACTGTATATTTTACTTAATGAATTGTGTTTTATCACAATGAGAGTATTTTCTAAAAGAATCAATATTTTAGCTCACTACTGATAAATCATTTATAGGTTCAGTGTGTCACTGCTAAGAATGATTCTTCTTCCTAATCAAAGTGACTGTATCATGTCAGAAGACACTGATGTTTATTTTTCAGGGAATGAGCACCAGAAAATACTGCACAGGATGTTCTTTCTCTGCAGCCCTTGTTAACATTTACCCCTGAAACACGTGGCCTGAGCCTGAAGGACTGAAAATAAATCTATCTCCTGTAAAATGGTTTAAAATACAGATGAAAAAAATCCATTTTTTTGGACTTTACTATTACCTAGTGTGTGCTGCAGAAAGCTCATCCTTTCAAACCAGCCATGGTTTTATGTCCTAAGGAAATGCTCTTACAATTTACCTCTATAAAATACATTCTCCAGTAGGGAATTAGAGTTGGAGCCCTGATAGAGGCTGATTTGGGCAGATTTTAGCCTGAGAGATATCAAACCTGGTAAAACCTGCCTGGCGTATTGTCTCTTTCAACAAAACAACAACAAAAAAATATCTAAAATTAAAAATCAAACCAAACAACATTTAGAACAAACTGGAACTCACAGAAGAGAAGAAATATGTTACTTAATTACATAGGAAGTGCATAGAAAGGTGCATTGTACAATATGCAGAGGTGGGATTTAAAGTGGAACCTCCTTTACTCAGCACAGCAACTGTAATAAAGGTTGGAGTTTGTACATTAGGTATTCCCAGACATGTCCCTAAGCTGTCCTTAATGAATGCAGCTCTCATTAATTTAAATGCTACTTACATGCAGCTAGCAATAAGGTAATTAAAGAAGTTCTTAATTTAGTAGCATTTTATGTGGTTATTCCACGTGAAGTAGCAGAGCTGTAAATTGTTAAAATTGGGACAGAGAGATTAATTTTCAGAGATGCATTTAACAGCTTTGGGGAGGGGGTATGAAGGTGATATAACATTTCAAGGGCACTATATCAAAAGAGAAAAATTCCTGCTTTCTGCTGCTGGTGAGCTCAGGAACCTTCCATGTTTGTCGTTAGGTCACCTGCCATCCAAAAATTTGCTTTGTGCACTCTCTTCTCATTCATTTAGATAAGTTTTCCCTGGATTCAGTCCTGAGTTTGCTTTCACTTGCCTCTAATTTCCACTTCAGCAGATGTGTGAGAGTGACCCAGCACTGTAAAGCAATAGGTTTTTGTCCCCATTTTCATGTAAAACTTTTAGATGTAGAGAGGTTCAGCTGAACTTAACTGGGCTTGGCTTTGTGCCATTTTATGTCAGTCTTTTACAGAAATAATTGAATTCCTCATTTTGAAATGTTTCAGCAGAAGGAGCCCTTATTTTAAGTGATGTGAACATGTGAGATCTGATAATGGATTTCTACCTCTGTGTGTCAAAATCAGTAGTGTAGTCGTCTCTTTCAGAGTGTTTAAAAATAGAAGAACTCTGGGATTTTGTTTAAAAACAAGAGAAAACCCCCATACTTTTGTGGTCTGTTTTTGTAATAAGTCAGGAAAAATAGTTCAGTTTATAGTTTGCATGATGTAAAATAACTGAATTTCAGCAAGCCCGGCTTCTAGCCTGGCTTTGTAAGTCCATATTTACCTAATACAAGTAATTCAATGTTTAATATTGTAATTGTATAGTTCTTCATGTCTTTAAGAAAAAAATCCCCAATCAAAACAAATAACACTGAAAAAGTGACATTTAATGTCATTAGCTCTAATGTCTAAGTGTAACAAGCCTATGGGTAATAAACTGATTTTTTAATATACCAGGATACGTAAGGAAGCTATAATCCCTGTCACCTATACAAAAATCTGTTTTTCAGTGTTCTGTTTTTTGGTTTCTTTTAGAGATCTGGTTTATCAACTACTCTCAGCCAAGCATTGCTGACTGAACACTCCATGTACAGATGCGTGGGAACAACTTTGACCATTATAAATGGATTTTAAATATGACTGTAAAGATTTTACACCATGAGGATAATGAAGAGGTGAGAGATTTTTCAGTGTGGTTTAATGTCAATGCAAACAGTCAAACAATCCACTTAAAACGTACATTAGGGATCTGTTTGCAGTATTTTGATGAAGTTACTGTTAGTCCAATTTCTTCCTTGTCCCAGCAACTCTTTCTCAAAGAGATTTCCTCTGTTATTCAAGAGTAGGTGTTGTTGTTGTTTAGGATTACTCACTAAAACCTTATGTTCATTTATATGATCGGAAAATAGTAAAAATGAGTAAAGACTGTCTGCAAGTACTATATTTATGGCAGTGGTGGTCAAAACTTCAGGGTTAAAATCTGCTGTTCCGAGTTATATTCCTCTCTTATGTATGTACTGCTTCCTAATATGTGCAGGAGGAGTCACCTGCACAGTTCTTTTTTAACCATTCTCTTGTTTTCAGCAGTGTATAAATTCCTATGAGTTTAGCAGTAATTTTAAAATCTTAACTTTTCTTACAGATGACATGAAGAAGTCTCCTGGGATATACACAACTCATGCAGTGGGACATTGAGCTGCTGCTGTAAAAGTTCAATATCTAAAGAAATCCCAACAGCCAGGTAAATGCTCTTACACTGGCAAAGATTGAATTGCAAGATGTTGATGTTTCTATGCACGTTTTTTTAAAATAAGTTCTTAATTTGATGTAAATCAGATAACTGCAGTGGAGCTACAGTGACCCAAACCAGCTGTAAAGCTTTTGGTGATTTCCATAAATTACACTCTGGCTCCCAAGCATTCCTGGTCTTAATTTTATAAATCAAAGCCCTGCTGGTGAGTTTTAGCTCCTAAACTCTTGTCACTCCCCAAACATCTTGCACTGAGTAGAAAGGTGAAGTGGATTGACTGAGGAACACAGAGCAGCTTTCAAAACATTTATTGGAGTGTTAGGATCCACTTTCTCTTCCATTAGGAAATAGAAGCATTCCTACATTTATGGAAACTCTTAAATCATTTTTGCAAAGTGAAACAGTTTCAACAGGCAAAATTTACACCTACTCGAGGGTTAGTATTTTTACAAGCGGAAAATCACAGTTTTAAGCAAGTTATAGCAGGAAAAAGTAGGAAGTTGTTGCTAAGGAGGCTGGGTCTTCTGTGGTCAGAGATAGTCAGAGATTGCATTTAGAGTGAAGCATTTATGTCTCTGAGTTGCTTTACCGAAGTTTTCTTAGGAATCTGTTGTAAAAGTTGATGTAAACATCAGGACTGCAGAGAAAAGGTTTAAAAACATAAATGAATTGTGAACTGAAAAGTAAGAAAAAAAGAATTTAAGCAAACGAGTACATTTGTGTTTTTTTAAAAAGTGGTTTTGATGCATGTATTGGCAATATTCCATAAACATGCAAGTTTCATAACTATATAAATAGTAAGATGGATGAGCCTAAATCTGGTTGAATTTCACCTTTTACTGTTATCCTATTAGTAGTTCACATTTTTTTGATCTTCAGCGTTTTGGACCCAATTTTATAATCTTTTATAATCACTTTCATTGCTGGAGTCAGTAGGATTCATTTTTTTAAGGGTGTGCTCAATAAAGGGTTCCAAAATTGAGCCCTTGGCTTGCCCCGTGTGTGACACGGGCCCTTTCTTGCCTTCCCTTTAAAGAACTCTGCTTGCATTTACTAATTTGCTGGGAAAACCCTGTTCAAAAAGCTAATGCATGCAATAAGTAAACAAGGAAACGTTAAGAAAACAGAAAAGTATTTGTAGAACCGCCAAGTTATTTTAAGGTTTGGAAATGACCTCATAATGCGGAAAAAAAAAATAAAAAGGAATAAAATGATTTGTTAAATGAAAGGTGAAAAATGTCAGGAGTTTAACTGGTGTAATTTTTCTTCCTCGTAGAATTTCCAGTCTTTTTGATGGTTGATTCAAAGGAAATCGTTGTGCTTATAATTTAAAAATGCATTCATTGATTAATTTTCAGATTTTTTGGTAATCATATTAGCATATTTCCCATTCTAATACGTTAATGTGTCTGACAATGAGTAGCAAAAACAGAGCAGTACAAGAAATAACCCATTGTACATTTTTTTTGGTGTATTTGAGATCACAGTTCCTGCCCAACTATCAAAAATCTCCTGTTTGCCACTGTGGGTTGTTCTGAACAAGCCCCATTTTTTCTCCCAGCATCTGAAACCATTTTCCCCCAACACCCAGGTTACTCATCTGAGTCCAGTTCTCCCCACAACTATGGTAACTAATTAAACAGTAAATTAACACATTTATTAACGGATTACAAGCCTTGGTAACAGTGCATGAAATTCTGTAATTCTTTCGTTGTATCTCTGCTCTTCCTCTTGGATTTATTTTTAATTAATTGGATCAACTAAGATTATAAATTCATCTTTGATTGTTATCAGAAGGAAGAAAATATCCCCTCTAGGGAAGTTATTGCTTAATAAAAGCAGGAGAATACTCAGGAGAATCACTGAAAAGAACCTTTTTCCTGAGAATATGTTGGACAGTTTTGAATTCCCAAAAACACAAGTATTGTCTTGTTCCTGGAAAAAATCTTGAGGCCTTACAAATTTCTTCTTCAGCAAACAGGCGAAGTTTGGACAAAACAAAAGTACTTTTGACAAAGAGAAATGAGTCCCAAAGTTAAATTGCAATGTTTGAGAAGTGTATGTTTTTAATATAACAATTCTGCTCTTAAAGCAAGTTGTGAAATGACAGTTTAGAAATCAAGTTTTTTTCACAGCCTTCCTGGCTTCTCTTTTTTCTGCAGCTGGCTTCCAGTTGGTTTAGTATATGACATCAGGCATACTTTGAAATGAATTCTGAAGAATGACTTGGGAATTTTCTGATGATGGAAGATCAGTCCTGAATGCCCTCGAGAAAAGGCAAAAATCCTTGGGTTTGATGCTTTCAAAAATACAGGTATTGGCTGATGGAGCAGCATGACATTAGCATATCAAAATGTTTCAGGGTAAATTTGCAAAGACATTAAATACATATTTTCCTGTTTAAGAATGACAGTAAATGAAAATTCACTTTGACTTTTGTTCAATTAGACAGATGCCTTGGGAAAAATCCACCTGAGTATTTGGCCTTTGAAAATGCGGAATTCGGTTGCTAAAAAGTCCATTTAGCAAACTCTGCTGCCTCTTGTCAAAACATGGGCTGAGAGCTTTATGTGGCACTTAAAGCCCTATTTTTACATTGGATAACTTGGTGAGTTTCCCACAAAGTCACTCCGAGCCTGTGAATGTTCAGGAATTCTGTCTATAGCGGGACATAGCAATGGACATGGTTTTGAAACTGGTGCTCAGAGTTATGTGTAATTTTCCTTTTTTTTAATCATTCTTTGACAGAAAAATAGTCCGTGCTTATTTTGGGTCTTTTATGCCATATTGAGCACTACCTATATTTAAAATCAAATCCTTTGGGATCACCACCCAAGTATAACAGGGTTAATGTAAAGACACAACCTCTGGCCTTTCATGTGGCAGTGGGTAAGATCAGCTGATCAGCACATTTGATCCAAACCTTTTTTAAAGACACTTTCCTGAACATTCCAAAGCAACCTATTTTTTACCCCGACATTACGTACCAAAGAGACTATTTTGGGATGTTACATATCCTGGTATTTATAAACACTGTGATAAAATTTCAGCACCGAACGTGAAAGAAAGGAATGATGGATGTTCTTGTGTATCCTCATGTTAACATATTCCATCTTGGAATTCAGTCCCTGAGTGTTCCCCATCCCTGGGGTTCATAGGCATTGCAAGGCACTGGCTGCACAAACCTGTGGCCAGGTTACTCTGCCTGGCCTTGCCTCCCTAGCCCAAGGCTGGCAGAATATCAGAATATCTCTGGTAGGATCATTTCCTCTGCCCCTCAGGGAGAGAGTATCCTCCTTCTCAATTCTTTCTTTCCAACCCCTTGAATGGCCCTGATTTTCAGTGTATTTGGCTACATACCTACAGGCTTTTTCCCAACTAATTACTGTTAACTTGAATACAGTAACAAAAATTATTATTGGGTAGAATTTTTGAGATTTTCCTTATTATTTTTACATTTCGTTGGGGATTTTTTGTTTGTTTGTTTGTTTTTGTTTGTTTGTTTTTTTCCGGAGGGAATATTTGGGGTCCATTTGTTTTCTGATAAAACTCTAAACACCTCCAGTGCAAAGGCAGTGTCTCTCCAGATTGCTACAGTGTTTAGTCCTGATTCTTTATGGATTTTTGAATATTACAGAATAAAAATAAATCACTATATTAAATCTGCTCATTCAAGCACCAGTTATCACTCCTAAGGTGGAGCTAACAACAGTTTTGTGTGAGAGTTCAGTCTGGGTGAAAAAAAAAGCGAACAATAAACCACATCATCTCTTACTGCAGCCAAATATTTGTAAACTGAAGTTGCTGACAACGTAAGTGGTAACAGTCATCTTGCAAACAGATGGGACAGTCCTGTGTTTGTGAACTTTTGCCCTAGGAAGCCAGAGGGTGAAGGAAAGGGGAGAAAGTAGAAGAAATGCTTAGTAATTGTTACTTATTACTCAGTATTACCTTGCAGTTATTGTTTCACTCAGGCACACATGTATAACGAATTTATAGAAATAGTCTCAGAGTAATTCAGATGCAGCAGGCAGGTGTATTTTTGAAAACTGCCACTGATGTTTGCGTAGTTGTTGGGTTGGTTCGTTTTTCTTAGTCATAGTACACAGAGTGACAGAGTGGTCACTGGACTATCAATGATGTCATAGATTAAATTGCGTTCTCCAAACAGAAATTTACGCCCTGTACTTTCAACTGAACTGAAAAATCATTTAAAATTTACAATAAAGAGTCTGCACTTTTTATCTTTCTAAATCTTCTACTTTGAAATCTAAATAAATTAAATTCACAGGGCTTGTGAAGGTGTCTCAGTGTGGTCTAAAATTTAGGCAAGAAGGTTATGTGCTTAAGAAAAGTCACTTTGCTGTGCATGTTAAGTACTCATCTACTTTAAAGCATGAACTTAGTTACAGAGTATTTTAACTTTTAATGTTCCAGAATTCCTTATACACCTCGACTGCATTAATGCAGCATGTTGGTTTTCACTGCCGGGTTTTTTTAGATCCTCTTTCCTAACTGGCAATATCACACTGTTTCACACACAGTGAAATCACCAACACTCCCAAATGTGGTTAGGTAGGAAATATTTTCTACAGAGGTTAGTACATGAAATCTGTTGGTGGTTTTGTTCACCACCTTATGTTCTCTGAAATATGCTTTATTACTTTGCAGCATCCTTAACACGCTCATCCCGTCTCTCAAGCTCCACTGACACAATTCCTCCAACCATCACAAACTGCCCACAGGCTTTCAGCATAACCACTGAGACACACCCAGTATGAACCAGCCTGGGACAACCTGAAATTGGTGCTAGTGGCAGAGATATTTCTATATTTGAAACCTCCTGCTTCCAGTACAGAGCTGGTCAGGTTCAGGATACAGCCCAAGAAGCTGGAAATGTAGCCTGTCAACATTGCAAAATAATCACCAAAAGTAAGAGCTATTTTAAGATAAGGCTTAACAAATTTGGCTCTGGATGCTACTGCCTCTTCCACAGTTCAGTTTGTGGTACCAGATTTGGTGCCTGTGTTTATTTCTGTGCAGAGTTTGATATCAGCTCCACTGTACCAAATAGCGGGAATATTTTAAGTTTAAAAATAATTTTCTGCCTAAAATTTGCTAGTGAACCAGCTCCTTCCTAGAGTATCAGCTCTTTAGTTCAGGGAAATGCTTAGTAGGAAATAATTAGTGTAAAAACTGGTATTTTACCATTTGCTTGAGTTGGGGGCTTCAGTGACAGGTAAACTCTAGTTGTCTTCCCTGTCGCCTGACTTCTATGTCTGATGCTGTGGGCAGGCCCCTGTAAGGTTTGTATTCTCCTTAACAAAACACCACATTTACACAGGGCGGATTTCCAGCATTTTAGGTTGCAATGGGAATGAAGCATGTTGAGCAACAACGTGCTGATGCACTGTCTCAAACACAATTTTGCTGTTGTTGCAGCTCCTCTGTGGAACATTCTGCTCATGTGGATGCTCTCCTTAAGCGCTTCATTACAAATTCTGGCCCTTGTTCAACAAAGGTAAATTTGAAATACTTTAAGCTGTGTGTGCAGGCTCAGACTTTGTGCCTGACTGAAGTAAGTCCAGAAAGACCATTACGTCTGTCTTCAGCAGGAGAGGGCCAGGAGGGTGGTAGATTTGATAAAGAACATTTGGAAATCTTGTTACTTCCACCTGAGAGTCCATAAATTGCAGTAGCACAGAGTTTTTAAAATTAATTTAAGGGTGGCCCCATAAAGGATTGATAGCTTTTAAGCATTAGGTTAATTATCAGCCCTAATTCTGTAGCTAAACAGCCTAAAAGGCAGAAACAGAAAGCTTTCTGGTCAGCAGAATTTTTGGGAAGGTTTTCGAGCTCATTGCTCTAAACCGAATGAGCTTTTTTAAAGTGCAACCAAATGTTCTAATTCAGAACATTTCAGACCTTAATTCAAGGTCATAACAGTGAAAATGTACTTACTAGAAAAGTAGAAGAGAAGAAAGCTACTTCCTCTGGCTTGGTTTCTTACAGAAGACGAAGCATTGACTACAAAGGGTCATTGACATGATGGCAGAACACGAAAGAACTTTATTGAGGGTGGGAACTACTTCCAATATAACAGCAGGAATGGCTTTATTAAAACTTTCAGGAAAGTTTTTTGAGATGTTTGGAGTTTGTGTGTTCCCTTTGATTTCAGGTATACTGAAAAGTCCTACAAATATATTCAGTGCTACTTAACCTTATAGTCTATAGATATCATAATTCAAATCTCTTTTTATATTCTGTGGAATAATCTTGTGCTTATTTCATTGTGAGTTTCAGGTGGAAGTTGTGGTTTCTTGGGGTTTTTTATGCGTGTCTGTGTTTTGAACATATTTTATGAAAATATGGTTTATTACCTGCCAAACCTGCTGAGGTGAAGGCTTCACTTTGGGAAAGAAAATAAAAACAAAGGTTAAGGTTGAAGGCAGTGTTAAGATCTTTGACAGTGGTTTCTTGTAAATGGTTTTACCCCTTTGAGTGTAGAAAACTGGATACTTCAAGACATTCATAATGTTCTTATTTGGCTTGTACATATCGTTTAGAAGTAAATAACATAGGTTGTCTTAGTCATAATGATACTACACCAGTTGTGACTCTCTCGTTCATTTTAGCAAATTAGTTTGGCTGCTTATCAGGAAGTGACTTCAGTAAGGAAGCACAGTAATTCAGTTATCAAGCACTCCTTTTCTAACCCTTTCGACAAAATGCATATGAACTCAATGTAAGAAAAGCATTTATTTTCAGCTTCTTGTCTTCAATAACTCATTTTGTTACGTGCATGATTCACCCTAGAAGGTTTATCTGTCATGGAGGACGCAGGAGGAAGAATGAAAAGATCTAACAGCACCCGAAATATATCATTGCATTGTAGGCAAATAATACTATTTCCAGGCAAAACAGCTCAGTGATCTCTTAGGAGGAAATTCCTCCAGCCCCTGGGCCTTGTACCCTTTGATCCTGATCATCTTGAGACAAGCAATTAGAAAATCTCTAGCTTGGGAACCGTGTTGCCTCCAGGGTGGCTCTTGCTCATTGTGAATAACTGAATTTGGGTTGCTGAAATTGCTGTGTGTCCTCTCAACATTACTGTTAGTACAGTTTAAGAAATTGAAATAATGGTAATAATCTGAGAGTGTTTTGAACATTTCACGGTCACTGTTCAAAGTTCGCATTCCCTCGCTGTCAGTGAGAAGGAAAAAAGAGTAAATTCACAAAATTACATGACAGGCAGTGTAAGTATCTTTCTTAGGAGCAAATCTCTTTGGAGAAAACTTCTGATGTCTTTGGGTAATATTTTTTTTCCAGTTTTACTTGTCTTTATTTCACACATATAAATTCAGTATGAGTTGAAAAAAAGCCAGCATTGAATTAATCTGTATTTTCGTCTTGATAGACAAGGCATCTTCACTCCACTTTGAGTATTATGCATGGCTTCAACATACAACTACCTGACCTAAGCCCATTGTATTGGAAGCTAGAAAGAATTTCTTAAATCTTTTTAATATCAGTTTAATATAGAGAGATCATCTGGAGGTTTTTGTGACCAAGAACACTTAGCCTCTCCAGTATGCTTTTCATTCATGTTCAACTATGGGCTAGCAAGATTTAAGTATCCATTCTGCAGGTGACATGAAGAAAGCTGTAAGCAGAGCCTAGCACTCCTGTGTCCACAGTTGGATAGTTATCATTCTGTGGAGAAATACAGAGAAACAAGAATGAGCCCTTGTTGTAGGAAAGAGCAAATTCATCCAAAGGGCTGTGTTGTATGAAAAGACTCAAAAATAATTAAATAAAAAAGGGAATATTTTCACTTCTTTAAAAAATATTATTTGAAAGATAACCATGACAGATACTTTTCCAACAGTTGGTATTTTTCTATACTAATTTAAAGAAACAGAGCACAAACTTGTGACCTTTCAGACTCTCCCTTGCAGCAGGCTATGATTTGCCAGATATATTTGCCCTGTGTTCAGCAACAAAGTAATATAGGGATTTAGTTAGAAACCTAAAAAAGGAAAGAGGAGATCATCACAGAGGCTCAGAACAACATTGGAAAGAAACAGGAACGTCCGTGTGTAGCTAAAGGATAGTGTAATTTATGACACTGGATGTAACAACCCTGGGAAAGAGGTGAGCGTGCAGATTTACGAGCAGGTCAGAGTAGGTCGAAGTCCCTTGGAAAGGTGCCTTAATGGAGACATTTTTGCCCAGTGCAGCTGTATGAATCAGCAATGTGACACTGCTGCTTTGCAATGGGATGGGAGCTGGACCGAGGTCTGGGTGACTGGTCTGAGCAGTTCTGTTACCCGGACGACATGGGTAAACTTCAGCTGTTTGGAGATTTTTCCAAGAAAACTACTGGCACTGTCCAGCTGCAAGCAAAACTGGACTTCTGTGGCTTGTGCATCACAGGCACTAACAAATCTTAGTGCTATTGTGATCAGATGAAGAAAAATGTTTGTAATTTAATTGGGTTGGGCTGGGGAAAAGAAAGTCTGGCGTCACGGACGGGCCACTCTGTTTGAAACTGTCTGAGAGGAAAAGAATTCTGTTACAGAAATTATTCTGGCAAATTCTTCTCTTTCGAAGAGTAGACAGATGAGTGTTTTAGATACAAAAGCAGGATTTGCAAATTGAATATAAACCTGGAATCGTTTAAGGATTTGAGCACACTGGCTAAAAGGACAGAGCCCAAAGCACTCCTTTGCTTTTAGTGACATCAGAAAACACTGAACAAACACACAGTTTTATTTTTCCTAAATTATGAATGCTATATTAATGATTTTTTGATAAAATCTAGGACTATTGTTCAAGGTAAGAAGATCCAAAATGTTATTAAAGACATAAAGCCAGTGTGCTGTTATCTCTTGTAGGGTGTTCAAACTGACAGAGGGCAGGCTTAGATCAGATATTAGGAAGAAATTCTTCACTGTGAGGGTGGTGAGGCCCTGGCACAGGTTGCCCAGAGAAGTTGTGGCTGTCCCACCCCTGTCCA